CACCTCATTATTTGTTTTCTATATTTTGTATTTTTTTCATTCCTTTGTTCTTTTTTTCTTTTCCTCCTTATTTTTTATTGAATATATTTTATTATTCTTTGTTATCTCCACCATTAGCTTATTAGCTATATCTTTTTAGTGTGTAAGTTTGTTCTAACGCTTATCATATTCATCTCTAATGATCAAAACCTACCTTTAGATGATATCATATTTCCTCACACATAAGAAAAATATAGATATACTTCCATTTCTTGTACATTTTTTGTACTACTGTTATGTAGTACATAACAGTACTCCTAACTCCTACTCATATTATGAACTCTGCTGTATGTTGTCATTATGTTTGCCTAAAACAGGTAACTATCTTTTAAGGAGTTTGTTTTTTAGAATAAGAAAAAGTATTTTATAGTTTCCCAGATATTTAAAATTTCTGTTGCTTCTCATTTCTTTGTGTAGATCCAAGTTCCCATTTGGGATCATGTTCCTTCACCTTTACTACTTCTCATGGTACAGGTCTGCGAAGAATTACCTTAGCTTTTATTTGTCTGAAAAGTCTTCCATTTTTCTTCCTCTTAATGGATATATAATTCTAGGATGACCCTTTTTTATTTTATTATGTTAAACATTTTGTTCCATTCTCTTATGTTTTTTTTTTATAATTTCTTACTAGAAATCTATAGCCACTCTTTGTTTCTTTGTACTTAAAGCATCTTTTTTGTCTGGCTCTTAAGATGTTCATTTTATGACTTGGGCTCAGGAATTTATTTTTATAATTTGTCTTTTTTTTCTTTAATCACACCTCATTGTAATCTAATTCACATGCCATAAAATTCACATGTCATAGTTTGTAGTATATCCAGAGTGTGCATCAATCACCACTATTGGATTCCAGAACATTTTCAACACTCTGAAAAGAAATCCCATTCCAATTAGCAGTCATTCCCACTCCGTCAACCCCTATAGTCCCTGGAAACCACTCATCTACTGTTTGTCTATATTGATTTGCCTATCTGGATATTGCATGTAAACGGTATCATACAATCTGAACTTTATTCCTTTTTTTGGCCAAATAATATTCCGTTGTATAGATACACCACATATTGTTTATCCATTCATCAGTTGATGGACACTTGGGTCGTTTTTACTTTTTGGCTATTGTGAATCATGCTACACTGAACATTTGTGTATGAATTTTTGTGTGGATCTATATTTTCAAATCTCTTGGGTATGTACTTAGGAATGGAATTCCTGGATCATATGGTAAATCTATTTTATCTTTTTGAGAAATTTCTAAGCTGTTTTCCATAGCAGCCACACCATTTCACATTCCCACCAGCAATGTATGAGAGTTCCAATTTCTCCACATGCTTGTTATCATCCATCTTTTCTATTAGGGCTCAGGAATTTAAATATGGTGTGATTTGGTAGTGGTTTACTTTGTGTTTGTCTTCCTTAGGGTTTCTGATCGTCATAGATCTCTGGGTTTATAAAGTCTTTATAGAATTTGGAAAAAATTATTCTTTCATGTATTTTTCCCCTCTTCCCTCTCCCCCTTCTCTGGGAGTTCTGATTGCATGTAAGTGGGACTGCCTGATTTGTCCTACAAGTCACTACTGTCTGGTTTCACTTTTTAAAGTTCTCCCCTCTCTGTTCTACATTTGGGTAGTTTATCTTGCTATGCCTTCATCTTCCAGTGCATACATCTTCTCTTCTGCAGTGTCTACTCATGGCTATTCCTATCTGGTGTAGGGCAGAGACTGAGCAAAGGCACAGAGATGTGAGGAAGCCAGGGGGGCTTTGGGAACTGCAGGAGTCCAGTGTGGTCTCGCCATGCTCAGCTTCAGCTCAGCCCATGGAGAAAGGAAGGCCTAGGTTTTGGTCCCCTGCATGGATCCCTTGCAGGAAACTGAGTGAGGATGTCACTATTTCCCAACTGTGAAATCTCCCCCAGAGGGTCAAATTCTCTTCCCTTTCATAGCGCAACGGGAGTAGTCATCTTCCCATCTCTCTTGGAGGCAGCCTCCTACTCTTGTCTAATTGGAAATATCTCCAGATCCACACAATGCTGCAGCTGGCAGCCCACCAGTTCCCTCTATGCAGCAGAGCTGCTTAACTTGACTGCTGTGAATGATGAAGAAATCTGAGCTGTGTGAGAGGAAAATCAGAAATGTCCCTTGCCAAATCTATTGTGCTGGAGTCTTTGGGATTTGAATGAAGTTGACTGAGTTCTGATAATTTCGATCAATGCATTTTAAAGTGATGGGATACAAGAATGAAGCAAAAGGCAATGTTTTTTATTCAATGTGCAAATCATCTGACTGTATCTTCCAGATGACTCTGTACCTTTAATTAATCATTTGTAATTTTCCTGTGAGAAAATGTGAAATTGATGGAGCTGATGACCTTCCAGAAAAAGTGCCATGCTGTTACCCTGAGACCTTCCAGTGCCTATACTAAATGAATGCCTATGCACGGGCTTGTGTGGGAAAAGGTGTGACCCCATGAAGGGTGTTGTTAAAGATGCAACAGCACCCAAACCCTCATGATTCCTGAACCTCCTGTGCTCACAGCAAACCAAAGGAAAAGAGCAACTCAGCCCAGCCCACGTCCACCTTGGCTCTCTAAATTAGAACTTAGGACTAAAGCTAGAAAAGTGTGCTTATTTTATGCAACCAATCTTCTCCAGAAAATGAATTTCAACTTGTTTTTGTAAGTAGTATAATTTTTAATTAGGTGCTAGGTGAACAATATATGTTTAATAAACTCATTCAAATTGGGACTATCATGAATGAAGCATTTTAACACAACAGAGAAGGAAAATAAATGTAAATTTTATGATTAAGCACTTGGGAAGACTAAACCAACCATGCTGACACCTACAGAAATGAAATGGTCAGGTGGCAGGATATTGTCAACGGGAATCTGCCATGTAGGGCAGGAATTGAGAGCACTCTTGAGGAAGGAAACCTGGACTCCAGACCTGTTAGTTACAGGTTCAGGGATCTTTGCACATCATTCAATATCCCAAATTTGTGGCTTCTCCCTTTGTAAGATGATTATAATATCTGCCTCATTGGGTGCTGAAAATATTAAATGACATAATATATGCCACGGGACTTTATAAATTGTAAAACCCTATTACTACTCATGGACCAGATTTCAAAAAAAGGGCCGCTGTCACCAGAGAAGAGGTTTGGAAGCAGAAAGTCTGAAGGTTGGTCAGACTTAGAGAAGCCATGAAGAGTAGAAGAGCAAGTGTTCCAGGCTAGAGGGATAGCATGACCAATGAACTCTGCACCACTGGGAAGCAGCCTGCTTCTCCTGTGGGAATGTTTCTAGTCCCTCCTCCATCATGGCCATCCTCCTCTAAACTCCAGGGACAGAAGTGACAAGCTGGCTCTACAAAGGCACAGCATCTGGACCATTCCTGCCTGGGGGCAAGAAGTGGTCTGTGATTTGGTTTGAGGATGGAAGTTGGATCTGGAACCAGTGGCTTTGAACACTGAGGGCACATATAAATCACCATGGAACAAGAATGCCTGGTCTCCATCCCTGAGTTGCACTGGAGCAGACTTTCTGGGAATGCAATGGCTTAGGTGGTATTTTTTTTTAAATCTAGACATGATTCTGATAAATAACAGAGTTCTGAGAACTGCTGTTTAGCTTTTGATCCACGAATAGAGAAATTCTTTCTCAGTAGAAACAACCTGCTGTCCATTCAGTTGGAAAGTTAAGTCTATTCTCTAGTGGCCCCCAAAGGGGGCTAACTGTGCTCCCAAGAGAGGGTCAGAAGTTCTGAAACCCTGTTGGTGTACCAGAGACTTCTGCCTCCTGCCCTGTAACTGCAGGGCTCTGACAGGTGAAGGCTTCAGCCATTCTCAGCAATGGAGAACACTTCACATAGAGAGCAGGGCACCTGCCATGGCCCATGAAGTTTTCATTGCACGAGCTCTCCTGTGTAAGTCCTTTCATGTCGTCACTGTTCATACCCACCCTGCCCAGCTCTCTGCATAGACACTGCAGAACTGAGGGAGGAAACTGGAGCCAAACATCCTCACACATGCCCAAGCTATTAGTGTTACTAACAATAAGCCAGTTTCCATCTCAATTTCATCAGATCTACTATCATTTAAAAAATTTTGTTTATTGCCTGTCTCCTCCACTGGAAGGTAAGATCCAAGAAAGCAAGGATCTTTTTTGTGTCACTCACTGCTATCTCCCCAGTGCCTAGAGATGTGCCTGGCATATTGTAGGTCCTCAACATGTGGTGTATGAATAATCAACTAGCCCCCCATTTCTGAGAACTTATTATGTGATAGGCCCAGTGCTCTAATTATGTCTATCATCACATTTAATTCAAACAACAACCCCATACGGGAGGTGCTATTATTCATTCTCATTTTAAAGCAGAGGAAACTGAAATTCTGAGAAGTTAAGACACCTGCTCAAGGTTACACACACAAATAAGAAGTAGAACTAGGCCTTGAACCCATGACTTTCCAGCTCCAAAGACCAAGCTCTTAAGGATTTTGAACTAATTTCTCTCACTCAAAGTACTATAGGAACATGTCCTCCTCAAGAACTGGTTATAAACCTGGTTTCACTCTGACCCTGAGTAGTAATGTGTTAATGGCACAATCTCCAGGCAGTGGTATTTCCTGGGAAGGGGGGTGGGTATTGAAATCTAAGGGGGAATTTTATCCCTGTATCCTCCCTCCCAAATCCAGGATTCTTTAAGAAATCTACACAATACCAGATAAGCTCATTATCTTTGGAAGATTTCTTTTTTTAATGATACCCTACCAGCATAGCGAAAGGGCCAAGGTGAGATCAAGGTGTGTCTCGGAGGGTAAGACTCTGGATGACTTTTATTTTACCCTTTATATTTTTCTACAATGAATAATGTGTATTAATTATGGTAAGGATTAAGCTGGTCTAACAAAGAAACTGCAAAATGCTTTATCCTACATTAGTTCAGAGTTTCTTTTTCTCTTACCTACCAGTCCAGGGCAGAAAGTTGGGCTCCACTCCATGAGATCACCCAGGTTCCCAGCTGGCCCCACATTGGTCTAAGTCGCCTGCTCCAGTGGTCCTCATCTTTGTGGTTGAGAGTAGCTCATCAGCACCACCTCCAGGAGAAGAGGAAGAAGGAAAGGGAGGGCATAAATTGCCTTTTTTTCAAGGAGGTACTCTTATCTCACTTGGCAAAACCCAGTTACAGGGCTACATCTAGCTGCAAGGGAGGCTGGGAAACCAGTCTCTGGGCAGCCATCTGCCCTCCCAACACTCACAGAGAGAAGTCCATTATTAAAAGGAAGAAAGGGAGGATGGATATTAGGGGACAATAATAATTTCTGCCATAATGTGTATTTATTTATTCTAATTAAAAAAAATCTGTCCCCCCAAAAATATGACTTTTTAAAATTAATATACATCAAAATTGACTTTTTTTTGTATGGATAGGTCCATGGGTTTAAGCACACCAACGGAGTAGTGTAACCTCCACCACAATCAAGATACAGAATAGTTCCATCACCCAAAAAGCTCTCTTAGACTGCCTTGCCTTAGTTACACCCTCTTCTCCACTCTTAACCCCTGATGAACACTTACTTGCTCTCTCTCACTATACTTCTTTTTGAGAATTTCAAATCTTGTATAAATGGAATCATATAGTATGTAACCTTTCCATACTGGCTCCTTTCACTCAGCATAATGCCTTTGAGATTTATCCCCATTGTTATGTGTATCAATAGTTTCTTGCCTCTTAATGTATAGATATCCCACTTTGTTTATCCATCTACCCACTGAAGGACATTTAGATTGTTTCCAGTGTTTGGTAATTATTCATAGAATAGCTTTAAACATTTGTGGACAGGGTTCTGAATGAACATAAATTTTCATTTCTCCAGGGCAAATACCTAAAAATGGGATTGCTGGGTGAGATGACACGTGTATATTTATTTTTTATAAGAAACTGCCAAACTGTTCTAGACTGGCTGCACCAATTTACATTTCAACTAGCAATGTACACAGGACTTCTGTACTGCTGAATCTTCACCAGGTCCTGGCACTGATAGCATTTCTTATTTCAGCCATTCTGATAGGTACATAGTGATATTTCATTATAGTTTGAATTTACATATCTCTACTGGCTAATGATGTTGAACATCTTTCATGTGCTTAGTTGCCATCCATATACTCTCTGGTGAAGGGTCTGTCTAAGTCTTTTGCCAATTTTTCCACTGGGTTGTTTGTTGAGTAAGACAGTTTTTTAACATATTTTGGATACAAGCCTTTTGTTAGATACATGATTTGCAAATGTTTCCTCCAAGTTTTTAGCTTGTGTTTTCATTCTTTAACAATCTTCCACAGAACAAAAGCTTTCAGTTTTGATTAAATCCAAATTATCATTTTTTTTCTTTTATGAATTGGGCTTTTGCTGTCATGTCTAAGAACTCTTTGCCTAACCTCAGGTCACAAAGATATTCTACATTTTCCTCGAAAAGTTTTAGAGTTGTATATTTTCTTTTCTTTTCTTTTTTTTTTACTATTAGGATCTATGATCCATTTTGAGTTAATTCTTGTATAACGTGTAAGGTTTAGATTGAAGTTCACTTTTTTGTTTGTATGAATGCCAATACCATGTGTTAAACATACTATCATATCTCCACTGAATTGCATTTGCATGTTTGGCAAAAATCAGCCATTCATATTTGTGTCTATGTCTGTACTCTCTATTGTGTTCTATTAATCTATGTATCTCTCTCTCTGCCAATACCACACTGTCTTGGTTATTTTGAAGTAAATCTTAAATTTGAATAGTGGGATTCTTCTAAGGCCAATATTCTTTTGGCTATGCTAGTTTCTTTGCCTTTCATACTGACTTTAGAATCAGCTTGTCAAATATCTATAAAAATTCTGCTAGGAGTTTGGTTGAATTGCCTCCAATCCATGGGTCAATTTGGGGGAAAACTGACATTTTTCCTATGTTGAATTTTCCAATCCATGAACATGGTATGGCTCTACATATATTTAGGTCTTCTTTGATTCATTTCATCAGCATTTCAGAGTTTCAGCACATAGATTCTATGTATATTTTGTTAGAATTAAACCTACATATTTCCTTCTGAGAGGAGTTATTTTACATGGTACCCTTTTTTTTTCAATTATTCACTACTAGTATTTAGAAATATGAGATTTTTGTGTTTTGACTTTGTATCCTAGAATGTGACTAAACTCAGTGTTATGGAATGAATTCAATCCCTTCAAAATTCATGTTGAAGCCCTAATACCCAGTGTGAGTGTATTTGGAGATAGGGCCTTTTAGGAGGTAATTAAGATTAAATGAGGTCATAAGGGTGGAGCCCTAATGCAGTAAGAATGGTGTCCTTATAAGAAGAGGAAGAAAAATGCACATCGGACCTGCACACAAAGGAAATTCCATGTGAGGACACAGGGAAAAGGCTGACAGTCTGCAAGCCAGAAATCAACCTTGTCAACATCTTGATCTTGGACTTCCAGCCGCCAGAACATTGAGAAAGTAAATTCTGTAGTTTAAGCCACCCAGTCTGTGGTATTTTCTTATGGCAGCAGCACTAGTAGACTAATGCACTCGCTTATTATTTATAGTTTTTGATAGATTACTTGGGATTTTCTGTGTAGATAATCATGTTATCTGCAAATAAGGCAAGTTTTATGTCTTTCTTTCTATTATATATGCTTTTTATTTTTATTTCCGATCTTATTGCAGAGCCTAGAACTTCCAGTAGCATGTTGAATAAGTGTGGTGAAAGTAGACATCACTGGCTTGACTTGTTCCCAATTTTAGGGGGAAGGCATTCAGTCTTTCCCCACTCACTATGATGTTAGCTGAAGGGTTTTGTTGATGCTCTTTATCAGGTTGAAGTGATTCCCTTCTATTCATAACCTGCTGAGAGTTTTTATCATGAGTTGGTTTGGGAGTTTGCCAAATGCTTTTTCTATTTCAATTTACATGATCATATATTTCTTCTTAGCTTATTGATATAGTAGATAAATTTAAATTATTTGTTTGAATGATGAAACCAGCTTTTATGCCTAGAATAAATTCTACTTGGTCATAGTGTATGATTCCTTTTATATATTCCTAGATCCAATTTGGTAATATTTTGTTGAGTATTTCTGCACCTAAATTCATGAGAGATGTTCATCTGTAGTTTTAATTTTTGCACACTTTGTCTGATTTTGATATCAGGGTAAAGCTGACCTCATAAAACTAGCTGATACATTTTCATTCCTCTACGTCCTGGAAGAGATTGCGTATATTCGATTTTATTATATGTTTGGTACAATTTGCCAGTGAAACTATCTTGGCCTAGAGATTTCTTTTGTGGAAAGTTTTTTAATTATACATTTAATTATACATTCAATTATACATTTTAATTATAATTATACTATAAATAACCTAACTGGTTTTATAGTTCTAGGACTATTCAGGTTAACTATTTCATCTTGGGTAAGTTTAGATTCTTTGTGGATTTCAAGGAATCGGCCCATTCCAAATAAGTTGTTGAACTTCTGTATGTGGAGTTGTCCATATTTCTTTATTATCCTTTCAATGGCTATGGGGTCTGTGATTGATTCTTTTTAAAACACGTTCCAGAGTCACCTGGGTGGCTCAGTCGTTAAGCATCTGCCTTTAGCTCAGGTCATGATCCTAGGGTCCTGGGATCGAGCCCCACATCAGGCTCCCTGCTCTGTGGGAGGCCTGCTTCCTCCTCTCCCACTCCCCCTGCTTGTGTTCCCTCTCTCACTGTGTCTCTCTCTGTCAAGTAAATAAATAAAATCTTAAAAAAAAAACAAACCACACATTTCACAAGGAAGCATGTTCTATTGATTCTTACGACTTCTCAATTTGCTAATAAAATTCTTTTATGGTCTTTTGATTTTACATGTCTTTAGGGATTATAAAATGGATTTGCAACAGGAATGGCATCTTTAGTCTAGATATAAAATACAAGGTGATGATTGATTTCTCTGGTATGTGGGCTTTTTGAGGCTGTTAGGCCTCTATTCCCTAGCCTTCCACCAGCTAGCTCCCAGGAAAAGACTGATACAAGCTCAACCACCAATTTGTAGTTCTCCCTCCACCCTCTGTTTTGAATCTCCGCCTCCTACCACAGGAAAGAGATGAAAGCACAATACTTCTTAAAAAATCTTCAACCCTGCCTCAGTATTGTTTTCAAGTCCTCATTCAGTAATTTGGAAAGAAGCTTGGAAGAAATTAATAACTTGATTATCTGCTATTATGCCCTCTCTGGAGTTGATTACCAGAATAGTTAAGCCTACTTCCTACAGCGAGGAAGGGCCTCAGGGATTGCCTTCCTGTTACAGATCAAGAAGCTGTGGTCCTTTAAAGTAGGTATCTTTTATAGAAAGTGTACAATATACCTGGCTGCTATAGATATTACCTTTATCAGTAATAATATCAGGGTGGGCTTTATTATTTTCATTTTATAGACAAGAACAATAAAGCTAAGAGATGTTCAGTTCAAGAATGTTTCATGTTTCTGGCTGGCTGTATGACCCTGGGAAAAATAATTAACTAGTAATTAGGCTTCAGTTTCTTTATCTGTAAAATTGGGATACTAATATAACTTAACTCATAGGATTGGTTGAGGATTAAATGTGTCTGGCACATACTAAGCATTCAATATATTTTGTCATCATCCTTGCTGTTATTACTATACCATATACTATTTCTTTGAAATTTTTCTATAAAAAACCACATACTGAATTTGTACTAAATATTCCTTAAAATTTATAATCATTAAATTAAAAAATAAAGTTAAGGAGGGCACATATTACAATGAGCACTGGGTGTTAAATGCAAATAATGAATCATGGAACACTACATCAAAAACTAATGAAGTACTGTTTGGTGACTAACATAACATAATAAAAATAAAATAAAATAAAAAGTTAATTTGTATTCAATTAAGGAAATCTTGACTAACCAGACCACACAAAGTATTCCCTAAGTTAACTGTTTTTTGTTTTTTTGCTGCCTTCAGATCAGGTTCATAAGAAATGAGCAGGGTATATTTAAAATAACAGCCTCAGCATTCTATGAAGAAGCAGC